CCCCAAAACCCCAAAACCCCAAAACCCCAAAACCCCATTTCAAGTACAAATTATTGTATTAATTAATGGCAAAAAATCCGCGTAAAAGGAAGCCCTTCAGAAGAGTCAACAGATGGTAAGCCACAGTTGGGACAGGGGGTTAGAGGTGGGGTTAAGAGGGGAGATTGGAAGTTAGGTGACGTTTAGGAAGAAAAGAATTAGAGATAGAGAAAGAAAGGAGAACGCAGAAGGTAAGTTTTAGAGAGATTAGAGGCATAAGTAATGGTTTTGATAGAGATAGCCAGAAATGCAGTATTTGAATCCCCGATGTTTAAAAGGAGTGGAGATACTTCAAGTAAGTACTTTTTGAGAGCTTTTAGGGATAGTAGACAAGTTTAAAAGTGGGTAAGAAATTAATCAGAAATTTAAAACTTACTGAAAATGAAGAAGAGAAGGAAATTGACCCATCTTTATGGCCTGATTTTCTTCTACCAGAGAACATGATGGATAAAAACCAAAGAAGACCTGATGAAGAAGGATATGATCCCTCAACTTTACACATCCCTCCAAAGAGTTTCAAATAAACTTACACAATATTATAAGATATATTGGGATATTAAGAAAGATCACTTTGACAAAGTCGTATGCTTTGGCTCTACCTTATGGTATTTTGTATATTACCATGATGTTGAAATCATCGAGAAGTTAATCAAGAAACCTATGAAAACCTACTTTGGGGCACAAGGTTTCCATATGAAAGATAAAGATTTCTACTTTGATATTCTAACCAAGAGTGGCTATAAAGTGGTTGTAGTTGATCAAATTGAAAACTGAGAGTAAATTTCTATTTAATTTTTAGAATGATGAAGGACAGAATCCATCAAGAAGCAGATAAGGGGAAAAAGCGTAGATTTAGGACGGAAGTTTGCAAAAGAGAGATTTCACATATCTATTCCAGAGGAACTTATTTTAACCCGAATACCTCAGAAGATAACAATTCTACATTTGACACTCAATGCATCTTAGTATTTCATTTTAACTCTGATACAGATGAGTTTGGCTTTACTTTCTTTGACATCTCAGAGTTAAAATTTTATGTTGGATCTTTTGTGGATGATACAGTTATGAGCAAGTTCAGAACATTAATTAGCAGAATCAGACCTGTAGAGATTGTATGATCAGATAGATTCCGTTACTTTAACAAAATGGTCAATGGATTCCCAGTGAAGCCCTCCTTTAATTTTATTAAAGATAGAGACTTCCATTTTGATCCAGAATGAAGAGATATTATAGAGATCTCTATTGAACATGAAGAGAGGGAACTTCCTATAATCATTGAAGAAATTTTAGCAAGTGAAAATGATAATGATCCAGTAATAATATCATTAGGGAATGCATTTAACTACCTTGAATCTCTTAAAATTGCAGAAGTTACATTAAAATTATCTGAATTCTCCAGATATGATCATGATTCTCCTACTGATCATTATTGAAAGCATCTTATCATGGATTCTCAAGCTCTTGAAAACCTCGAAGTGTTTGAAGTTGAGGCCAAAAATGGAAAAACAACAGAAGGATCTCTCTTTAGTTTTCTAAATAAATGCACAACGAAATTTGGGTCTAGAATGTTAAAATAACTGGATAATGGCCCCTCTTAATGATGAAGAGAGGCTTGAAGATCGTCATAATGCGGTTGAATGGCTTTTCTATCACCCTGGGATAGTAACGGAATGGCAAACTTTGTTTAAGAAAATACCTGATTTAGAAAAGGTTCTGACTAGAATTTATAAATTTTCCCTTGAAAATGACCCAAAGAGAGTCTACTATTCAGTAGGATGTTATTCAAAAATGAATGATTTTCATAGATTATTACTAAACTTTGAAGAAATTGTGGAAAAATTAGCAAAAATATTTCCTCTGAGCAAAAAGATTGATTCGAAAAGACTCTCTCTTCTATCCCGATATCAGGTCAAAAAGATAAAAATTGAGCCTAAATCTGCAAATCCTTTTCTCTGGGACGAAGAAGAGGAAACTAAGCAAGTATGTGAGCCAGGGTCTCTCCCAGATATCAGAAAATGGATCGAAGGATTCAAAGGAATAATAACATGGAAATAAGGTTGGCAAAAACTTGATTCCAGAACCAAAGAAAGGCCTTAGCGATGCCTTTGATAAAGCAAATAAGAAAATGGATAAAATTATTGCAAATTTTGATGAATTACTTGAAAAGACAAAGAAGCAACTTAAGATAGAAGAGATTACGTACCATACTGAATCTAAAATTCATAAATTTCAATTTGAAATACCGAAGAGCGCTGCTAAGAAGATTCCTAAAGGGTTTAGTATCTCTTCAAAATAACACCCAAGTTATAAGGTATCAGAACAAAGATCTTATTAGTCTGAATCTCCAGTTAGAAAATGCAGAGGATGCTTTGAAAGAAGCTTTCACTCCTTTCTTAAAGAAGTTGCTTGAGAAGTTTTACTCAAAGAGGAAGATGTGGACTGATTTCCTCGCTTGTATCTCTGAGCTAGACTGACTAATTTCCTTAGCTGATATTTCTATGAATACGAAAGATATGGTCAAGCCTATTATCCTAAAAGATTCAAAACAAAAGATTGAGATAGAGCAACTTAGGCACCCCTGTGTGGAAAGTAAAGTTGCTCATTTTGTACCAAACGATGTCTGTATAGGAGGAGAAACTCCTTTTGTGCATTTAATCACTGGTCCTAATATGGGAGGAAAATCAACTCTGCTGAGACAGACGGCTTTAGCAGTAATCCTTTGACAAATTGGGTGATTTGTTCCTGCTAAAAAGTGAGAAATGACACTCGTTGATAGAATCTTTACAAGAATAGGAGCTAACGACAGAATAATGGAAAACAAATCGACCTTCTTTATTGAAATGGAAGAGACTAAAACTATCATTGAGCAATGAACACCAAAATCACTGGTAATAATGGATGAGCTAGGAAGAGGAACATCCACTTTTGATGGGTATAGCATAGCACATTCAGTTTTATCATACCAAATCTCAAAGTGAGAATGTGCAACTTTGTTCACAACTCACTATCACATGCTTGTCGATGCTTTCAAATCAAACCCTAAGGTTGTACCAATGAAGATGTCCTGAGTTGTTAATCAAGACACAGGAGATGTCGAGTTTGAATACAAATTTGTCAAAGGATATTCAGAGAAAAGTGAAGGTATCTTCGTAGCAAAAATGGCAAAAATCCCTAACAAAATCTTAGAAAAGGCTCAATTAAAATCAGAAATGTTCAGGCAGAAACTGAAAGATCTTGAAGTAGAATTTCAGTTGAATATTTAAGATTGAGGATAAATTCTAATTTTTACCAATATAGTACCCCAAAAGAGTATTCTCTTCTAGTAATGTCAGAGTTCTTGAATGCTCTCAAAATAGGGCTTCTGGTTTTGTAAAATTTCGCTTATGGTTTATTTCAATTAATTATTAAAATTTGGGGTTTTGGGGTTTTGGGGTTTTGGGG